TTCATTGCTGGTATTGTTTGTTCTTCCATTTGACTTCAGTAAGCACCAGATCAGCATGGGGCATTTTTAGCCCCACCAACGACTTATAAGCCACAAAACGCGGCAAATGTGTGTTTTGTAGTTTGACAGCGATGTTGCCTTCAGCAGGGGAAACTGTGAGCGGAAATAACAAGACAGGAAGAAGACCAAAATGCCTTTCACAGGACTGATGCGCCGCAAGAACCAAACCCCAAACTGCAAAATTTTTACCTACAAGCATTTTCCCACACTCACAAGCTACCCTACACAGAATGGGGTTAAAATATATACAACTGATACGACAAGTATTTGGACACTTTCTTTTAATCCATGCATCAGCATAATTAGTTTGAAACCAAACAAAGGACACTGCATTTAAGGGCCAAGCCTCAGCTCTAAATGGAGCAACTCTGTGGGATTTATAGAGCCCAACGTTTGGTTCACTACAGTTGTTGGACCGTAGCTTTCAAATAACTTGTGATGCAGATTAGAACAGAAACAAGCAGCTTATGCTGTCCTGTTATTTAGGCAGGAATAAAACACGTACCGTTTGTGTTTAAATTAGTGGTGGGATGCCATTAAAATGTTTTTTTTAAATCAAATTAATTGGAAGCTTCACAATGAATTAATTGCAATTAATCGCATTTTTGTCAAACAACAATATGTGACACAATAAGCAAAATTTTTCAATTCAAATAAATGTGTGTTGACGACTGAATCAATGAACAAACATATACGTGAACTTAAACAACATAAATGGTTGTTTTTCATCTACATTTATCTATGTGTTTTTCATCTGTGTACTACATTCATAGATTACTGCAAACTCAAAGTGCCATTATAGCGATTATATTTAACATTTTAACTTTTTGTTGACTTTTTGTCTGAAAACTTTTTGTTGCACAATCTTCACACAACCATGCTCTCAGTACGTGTCCACAGGATTCGTCTGTTTCTCACATTGTGTAGTGAAACGTCGTGTTCTGGAGCATCGCGGGGAGTTTCCAGCCACGATGCATAACATCGCCTGCAGCTCATTAACATGAAGCAGATTTGACTTCAATTTTATGCAAATTCGGCAAATTTTGACAAAATCACCCCTGTGGACATGCATCATTAGGCCTTGATAAGAAAAACAACTTTGCACCAAACAAGCCAAGCAATGCAGTCCCGTCCTCCATCACTGTTCACCAAACTTGCTTGTGCGCTGAGCTCAGAGATGAAACCAACTC